TATCTTCAAAAGCTTACGCTGTTACCACAGAGAATTTGTTCCCACAGATTAAGCTGTGTAATTTCACAACTCGAGAAACATTCTGAGGCCCAGACGTTACGTGGCAACGGAGAACTAATATGCTCAGGTCCTTTGTACTCACACAGCAGAGGAATAAAGTACACAGAAAGAAATACAAGATGCTTGAAAAGGCTCCGTGATTCCAACCAGTAGTACCTACCTATCTAATCTTCGTAAAGAAGTCCAAGGCAATGTAAAGGTTCATAAGCTTTGGGACTGTTCAAATTACTATTTTATCACTTCCTTACAAAATGAGGGTAGTATCTTCATCCTCAAAGCGTTAAGGAGAGGGTAAATATGAGAACAATAGCTAGTGTTACCGTTTTATAAATACAATACTAACCTCAATAAGTGCCTTCTGCAATTTTATAGCATGTTGTCAGATACAGCAATCCTGAGAATAATAGTGAAGTGGCTTTAAAAATATGAAAAGTCAAAATTCTTAAAAGCTGATCAGTTGAAAATTCACAAAAAGACATCAAAAATCAGATCTATGAATTATAATCAAGTTAATTTAGTTACAAGATTGACAATGCTACCAAAAATGCCTCCATGCAAAAGTCTAAAGCCACCTATAGCAAGGCTTATGAGTAATGGTGACCTACCAACTATATGGCCTTGGAGAAGCTATTTAGCTTCTTTGAATCTATTTTCTCTGTGGAGTAGAATACTGTACTAACTATATCAACTACACTTTAGAAGTCTATGGGGGAGATTTTAAAGGAGAACATACATAAATCACCAAAGCAGCACAGTGAACAGGAGATACTTGCATTTCTTATGTTAGTACTTCTCCTATCTGGCTTCTATCCAACACTTCTACTTCCTCTTTACCTAAACCCAGGATACAGAGACCAAAGAGGTAAGACAGATGGACAGACAGACAAACAGAACTTAGGCCAAAAAAAGTTAAGCAATTCCAAATCCTGCTCTATGGCCACTTGTTTTGAATTTAAGTTTGTATATCTGTTTCATCCTTTCCATTTAAAAGCAAGAACAAAAGCTGTGAACTTCTGTACCAGCCTGGCTTCTGAGGATCTACTACCAGTACTTGAAGAAGAGGCTAACAAGCCAAATATGCTGCTGACAGAACATCTTGGACACAACAGTGCTTGGTTCTTCAGTGTGACATGTACACTGGAGTAGTTTATTCCACCATGTGACTCCAAACCCAAGTTTCAGGTGTAAGCCTTTCAAAAGGACTTGAGAACTTAGAGGCACAAACCCTGACAGGGATCAATACTATAATAAATCATTTACTATTTTGTCATATTAGATATTTTTCTGCACATCCACATGAGTCTGAAAACCAAGGTTCCGGCCTTAATCTCTCCATCACTACCTAGCCAAGTGATCTTTGGGAGGTTTTTCAAACGACGGAAGATGACTAAATGTCTATCTAAAATTGAGCAGATGTACTCTCTAACCCAAAATGTCTCACAAGACCGGGAGTATTTTACTTAATGTGAATTTTATTTTACTTATTTATTTTTGGGTACCAGGGATTGCACTCACAACCTAGCACTTGCCAGACAGGTGCTCATGTCACTGAGCTAAATCCGCAGCCTTTATTGTGAATTTTAAAATCATGAACACACTCATATTCAAAATGTAAGATGAAAATATAAGCTAAAGTAAGAGCAATAAATCAATAAAATCTCTTCCTCCTGTCACTATACTAAGTGAAACCCAACAGTCATAGGTTATACAAAGGGAATAGTTTTTCTATCTAGTGAGACAGAACACTCATTTCAACAGTTTTCTAAAGACACAGGCCTCATTCAGAGAATCATTCTGGCTCTAAAAATGGCTAATCGCTATTTTCACAAAGTAAGGTACAATTTGTCAAAATGAACTGTCAGTTAAAATAAGCCTCGACATAGAAAGCACAAAATAATTTGGGCTCTAACCAGCACAGTGTTCCTTTTATACTGCTTAACTTTAAATTAAGAAACATCTTTTAAAAAGAGCAAGGAATTAAAACAACATTTTGAGGACTATGAAAGTGTTTTAAACTCAATTTTCAGTAAAAAGATCTAAATAGTTATTTAGTGAATTTTAAATGTATATAACTACACTTGAGTTTCATACTAACTGACAAGTATGATAAAACAGACAGGACCATATGGAAAACAACTAGCAAGGTGGTTGAGACAACCCATGTCAGATGATTTTATTAAGTATCAGAATTCTTAACTCTGTACAAACCCCTTTATGAATTCAAAAAACAAACTCAACTCAGAAACGTCTATAAATTCTTGTCTACAGTTCAGAGGACAGAACACCCTAGAAGTCTAATCATAGGCCCCCGGTAAAAATTCTAGAAGTAGAAGGAGCCCTAGGTAGCCTCGTCAGAGATGTGGCTTTTATTCTTGCCCCCTACCCTGTTACCCTAATCCAATTACTTTGTCTCTGTGGATCTGTTTCCTCATTTGATGAAGATGATCCTTCTCCTTTTTAAAAATGAGTAAGATTCTATTCTCTCTCTATATATATATAAAAATCTTGTTTATCTGATTGACACTGAAGTTATTTCCATCTAGTTACATGTGGGCCTTTTTAATTGATAACTGTACATTATTTATGGGCTGTACTGTAATGTTCTGAAATATGTATGTATTGTAGAAAAGACTAAATTAAGCTACTTCACATTTATCCTATCATCTATTTTTTGTGATAAGAATATTTAAAGCTTACTCCTTTAGTAATTTTAAAATATATATTCTGATATATGTAATTTTTTTAGTAATTTTAAAACACACTTTTTTAGTATTCTAAAACATACTATTCTGATACATGCTACAATATAGATGAACCTTGATGGTATTAGACTATATGTAAAAAGCCAGGCACAGAAAGACAAATGTTATGTGATTCTTATGTTAAGTACCTAGAACTGACAAATCCTTGAGAAGAAAATAGAAGTTACAAGGGGGTAGGGATAGAGACTAAATCAGAAGCCAATACCTTATTGGTACAAAGTTTCTGCTTGGGGAAAAAAGCAGTTCTGGAAATGGATAGTGAATCGTGAATTATACCTAAATATGGTTTTAAAAAGTAAATTTTATTTAAAAAAAGGTAAATTTTATGTGTGTGTGTGCGTGTGTGCGTGTGTGTGTGTGTATATATATATATATCACATGTGAAACCCCCCCCCCCCGCCAAAAAAAGAAGGAAAGAGGAACGAACACTTTCTTGACCAACTGTGGCTGAAATTCTAGCAGTCTTCTAGTATCATCATACAGATACTGTGAATGAGGAGAATCTGTTTCTTAGCACTTTTTAATTGCTAGTTGTGACTTTGCATGTTTTTTTAGACCTCAGAAGAGTTAACAAACAATCCAGAATTCAAGTTCTGGGCTGGACATGCAGCAAAGTTCTCCTGTTCTCCCGTGAAAGCCCTCCCCTGGAGCTTTCTCCTGTTAGCTTCCACTTACTTCTCTTCCTTCACAAAGTAGGCATTCCACATGTAATAGAGGTATTTCTTTAAAATCAGCAAAAAAAACCCCTAGAAAACACTCCAATTTTGTTAAAACTGTGCTGTAATCAGTCTCTTGACAGCCCCTTCCAAGCATATAATGAAGCTGCTGTAATCACTTTATTTCCCCCTTTGGATGGCAGTCTTTAACTCTACGTCTCAAATTTAGAGGAACTACATTTAAACTTCACAATACTTATACTGAGTTAACTGTTTCAACTTTTGGAACAAGACCTCCTTTCCTGAGACCAGGAGAATGAATCCAAGCACCAGCCAGATGGGAATACGGAAGGAGTGGAATATATCACTCGCTGGAAAACTTTCATAGTAGAGCTCAGGTGTCCGCAGCTCATTTGAGATGAACACCCCTCCCACCACCACTGTATCTCTAGCACCCATCAGAGAGCTGTCTGCAAAGAACCTTGTATCTGACTGGACTGGGAAAGTTACAAACTTGGCACATCAAGAAAAAAAACTTGTTTATGTAACTGTAAGTAGCATTACATTCGACCACCTCTTTGGGGTACTTCCTACCTTGCATAGCACATCTAAAAATAATAAAATAAAATACAACTCAATTAAATCTGGCATAAATAAAATACCTGAGAATCTGGGAATACTTTTTCATTTATAAGGGTTCCTACATCGGTAAAGAACACAGAAGCAGGTGGTTTATTCTCACTCAGATAATGTGGTAGAAAAGATGATGACTGTAAAACTAATAAAAAATATACTAAACAAGAGAAGCTATCCTTCAAACTTCTGCCACCTATCCCAAAGAAAAGCACTGGCTGTTGTACTGCATTTATTTCTCCATTTATATGAGAAAAAAAGGACTCTTGCAAATGTTTTGACTAACACCCTTCCTCCAAAGTCATGATCAAAATGTTGAACAACTGAACCTAAATACAAACAGGATTTCCTACTGCCCCTTTCCAAAACAACTCAGTCACTTTTTACAGATCAATTATTGCTCTTGATTTTATTTAGAGTATATTCCAATGAAAACTCAATCATTTCTCATGTTTTCTGTATGCAATTACACTATGAAAGTAATGGTTTCCAATTAAGACCTTTAAGTCTCAACATCAGAAAAAGTAAATGGCATAGGAAAACTGTTTCCTCTTGTAATAAACCAGGATAAACTGAATATACATTAGTAATGCTACACTACTCCCACAGACCAAAACTCAGAATGAGTTTTCAGTAGAATGTAAAAAGGAAGAAACTGAAAACAGGGAGACAGGGAAGAGAAAATGGTTAATTTGACTTACTGTTCTGTCTTTTAGAAAATAAAGTGACTACCAAGCAAGCTTTCACACTGACCTCCAACAGAAGGTGAGGTACAGAGCTGAGGTTTTAATTTGTGGCAGACAGGGAGATGCAAAGTGGGCGAGACTACTGTGAATAAGAGGGAGGGGCTGGTAACAAAAGGAAGGTCATGGGGAGGACGTGCACTTACTCAGTTAGAAGCTGGTGCAGCTTGTGATAACCTCGCTCCAAAGCCAAGCTTACAGGTGTTGCCCCTTCTTGGTTATGGATGCTCAGAGCTCCTCGGCCACCAGGCTTCTGCAATAGGAACCAGGTCAACCTCAACAGTCCCAGCCGCACAGCAAAATGCATCAATGTCTCCCGGGGGACACCATCTGTAAATGAAGGAAGAGATGGAAATAAACAAGAGTGTAGCAACAATGACAACAAAATACAAGTTAGGAAAGCACCACTGCCTCCAAGTGCCTCCGATACTAAAAGCAGGCTACAACAATTTTCATAGCCAGGTATACTCAGCTCTCAAATAAAGACAAAACAACCTACAAAAAGGGAAGAAAAGCAAAATATTCATTAGGACAAAGTCCCAAAACAGGGAAGCCATTCCTGTATTTTTAACTTACATTTGTTCAACATTACAAGAAAATTTATAAAGTTTACTCATATATGTTCTTTTCCTCTGTAAAAAAAAGAAAAAAAAAAGGTGAATCCATCTCTGCGAAACGAGGACACAAGGGTAATATTTGCTAGGACTTTGAGGGGTGTATCAGAAAGGGTATAATTACTCTGAGAGTTGGCTGGTTAAAGGCTAAAAACAGGTTCTACTTGTTAAGTACACAAGAGTGTTTTATTCCTTCACATGAAGGACATATCAAACTGCTGGCACTTTCAGTATTTGTTTGATGAGAAAAACAAATGCATCTTCAGGCATAAAAAGAAAGACTAATTCTTAAGACAATACACTAGTAACTTCAGAAAGGCAAATGCTTGAGCTTATTTCACTTGAAGGCTCCTTCTTGGTATGAGTCACACTGAATGTGGTGGAAGGAGGAAGGGCTCTGGAGTCACGCAACTCTGGATTCAAACTTGTTATTACCAATTGTGTGAGCAGATGCAATGTATCTGCCCAGGCTTCATTTTCTCTGTACCCACAGTGGATATCACCACCTCACTCAGAGCTGTAACAAGTTAGAGGAGGTAAGGGAAACGCTAGCCTAATGACTGGCTGTAGCAGGTACTCATTAAGAGCAGTTCCTTTCCCTTTTTCTGCTCCACATCCTGTCCCTCTCGTCTTCAAACTACATTCTAGGCTCACGGGTAACACACTCTTCTCTCTCTTCTTTAGCCATCCTCTTGAGCCCAATTTGAGAGCTGAAGGGTCTGAAGGCCTGCTGATGTGACTCCAGAACCCAATCCCAAGAGGTGTGCCTGCCTTCACCTCAGCTTCTAGGCAGACTTCACAGAGTCCAGTGTTTGCCAGACTCTGAAATCCCCAAATCTATGTGAATGTCAAACAAAAAGGAACAAATCTTTGAAGCTGTGATTTTACACTGAATTGCATAGTTTTTGTGTCACCTGTGCAATGGTGCAGCTTCCACATTTTTCAAGGTCAATTTTCTTGAACACTAAATTTACCTTTCATATTTTATATTTTCCTTACAGAATTATCCACAATATAATGTTTAAGCAGAGGCATATGACTGGAGTGAAACCATGCCTCAGGGTTTAGGGATGCAGTGACAAAACATGTGCATAACATACCCAAAGCCCTCACTCAGAGCTGTAACAAGTTAGAGGAGGTAAGTGAAACGCTAGCCTAATGACTGGCTGTAGCAGGTACTCATTCAGGGCAGTTCCTTTCCCTTTTTCTGCTCCACATCCTGTCCCTCTCGTCTTTGGGCATAACATACCCAAAGCCCTGGGTTTGAACCCTCATATTACAAAAACAAAACAGAAATTAATGACCCAGGAGCAATAATAATCCATGTATAAGTACAAGGTTTAATAACACCTATGAGGAGGCAGAAAGAAAAAAAAAAAGAGCGGAAAGAACTCTTACAAAAGTTCAAATATCATCATCTGACTTGTGCCTTACATAATGCTTATAAACATTCTGACATCTTTATCAAAAACTAAAGTGCTAATAAGACAGACCAGAAAATATAGGTATGTGATTTCTCCAGAGCCAGCTAATTCCAGTCTTACTGGGTAAAGCCTCCTTCAAGTAGCTGTCTCTTTGTTCTTCCATCTTTTTGGTCCCTTACTTGCTCTGAGTTTCATGTTTATGAGTACAGTTCTAACAAAACTACACACCTGATCAGACCCTTGCACCGTGACTCCTGTACGATACCCCCATACACTACCCCCTATTCCACATCCAGTGCTGAAGTCCTCAGCAGCACATGCCACACCTGCTTACAGGCAGCCTGGTTCTGTAGACAACAGAGGAAAAGTAATATGTATTATGTGTTTTCCCTAATACATGGAATCAAAGAAGGCAAGTTGTAATCTCAACTACTTGCGAGGCTACGAAAGGAACACTCCAAGTTCCAACTTGGCAAGGCTTATCTCAAAAATAAAAACTAAAAATAATTGGAGGGAAAGCGGGTAGGTGACAAGCACCTGGCTAGCAAGCACAAGGCTCTAAGTTCAATCCCCAGTACTAGAAAAGAAAGGATGAACGAATGGTTGATGGATTGAAGGGAGGAAAGAAAGAGAAAAAAGAGGACATAAAATACAAGGAAGACTACTAAGGTAAGAGGAAGGGATGAGGGGTGTGTGCACGATAGTAATTGGGAACAAAGTATATTATGGGTATATGAGAATTCTACAAAGAAACCCAGTTGATAAAATATGGCCTAATAAAAACGTGTATGTTGGAAAAATCAAAGTATAAAAGAAAAGAATAAAGAGACTTTGTGTGACCAAATTTTAATAGGTAACCTTCAGCTCGTTTAGCCCTGCAGCTGCTAGACCACTGCTTATCTTAGAGTCAATGGTTATTAATCTTTTGCCAAGGAGAGAATATCCAGGAAGAGTCTTTGCATATGTTATTATTTTCTTCCTTTGTGTGGATGATAACTGCAAAAATATACAAACACTAGTGTAGTTAAGGAAAAAAATCTCCATATGAAACTATCCACACTATGGGAACTAAATCACCAAATGATTAAATCTAAGGACCAACAACCAAAATCAGATATATAAGACTGGTATTGAACAGATTGTTTTTAGTCCAATCTTTCCTAAACCTGTCCTCCTCCTCTCATAACCCAAAACTAAATTTCTCTTTGTGGGGAAGAGCCCCACTCTCAAAGAGTGTTACATCTTCTTGTTACTTACTTATAAAATATCATGACTAAATAAGAATGTAAATTCCACTCAGGATGGTTCTCCATGTTTTTTCTAGAGTAGGATTTCAATGTTCACACTCACACTACTTGTGAGCTACCCTGATCACGTCTATACACAAGTCTGTCAGGGAAAATCCAACTAATTTACCATTCTCACTAACCACTGAAGCACTAAAGAACTGAGACAACTAAGTGAGACTTGGAAACTCAAGAAAGGAGAATGTCTTTGTCTCACCATTCACCGTCTACCCACATAAATCCTTATCACTTTCGTTTAATGTAGATCTGCATCAAAAAGTACAGTGCAGACGTTTCTTTATATAATTAGGGACTACTTGTAGAAACTCAAATACAAAAATACCCTCTTACTCAAGTTGAAAGTGATGATTCCTTGAGCAGCCAGTAGCAATGTAAGAAAAGCTGCCTCATTCTCCTTTGAAGAATCTTCCTGTTAGATCTAGCCTGTCTTTACCTTTATGCTATGCATCATCATCCTTTGTTATAGCTTTACCAGTATTGTGTGCCTCTAAAAGGTGATACTGGTCACGTTATTTCTGACATGACTGGCATGCAAACTAGCACTACACTTTCTTCTATTTTATTATGAGGAAACTCAGAGATATAATATTTTTCACAAACTGCTGCAATGAAGCCTGATAAAAAAAACAAACTGAGAGACTCACCCCTGAACACATGCCACCATCCATCAGGAAGCTTGCTTCCCTCAGCACCAGGAGGCAGAAACAGCCAGACCCACCCATGTGCACCTACAACATTGAAAGCTTCCTTCCCTAGCATAATCAGGGCAGATGGAGAGAAACAATCAGATATGACCCGTGCACCAGCAGACCATCAATGGAGATATTTGCTCTCTATGGGAAGCTAACGCAGGCCAGAAGAACCAAATACACCTCTGTGCACCTGCTGTCATTGGGGGAGTCCCTGTATAACCATGCAGACTGAGAAAAGTAGCAGCACCATCCCTACCATGCATCCATGGCCATCTGGGAAGCCTCCGCAGAGCAGCAAGGATCTGGAAAAGCCCACTGTACACCCTGCTGCCTCCCGGAGAACACGGGCTAGGAGAAACCCAGGTGCCCATCCCCCTACACTGTGGATGGGTAGACAATGTTGGAAACTCCTGGGACAGCTCATCTGGAGGAACCCAGGAAAGTGTCGAAATGAAGGAACAAAAGGCAATCTCTGGCCTTTAGCCCACAATGAACGAATCCAGGAGATATGAACATGAAAAAAAAGTAGAAGCTGAACACCTGAAATTTCTGGGATGATGGCAACTAAAGTAAAGAAACTATTTCCTGAGGCTGTAAAATAAATCACACCAGAAATAATATCTCAGATAAAAGAAAAAATGACAAACATAATAGAAGAGTTCCTGAGCATATCTAATGAAGACATAGATTAAAAAAAGAAGAGCATAAGAGAAAGAGGAAACCTTGAATGAACAAGACACAGAAGAACTAGAATGCATGAAACAGATTCAAAGAAAGAGCCAGGAAATTAAAAACTCCATTGAAAGCTGGCAAAACCGCTTGAAAGAAACTGAAGATTGACTTTCAGGCCTTGAGAACAGGATGGTAGCTAGCGATCGCAAAAAGAAAGATCTCTTTAAAATAGCAAGGAATCAGAAAATAACAATTCAATGACTACAAGATGACATAAGCATAGTTTAAGAGTAATAGGTGTCAGTGAAAAAGCGGGGCCAGCACCAATTACATAAAGAGCCTACTTACAAAATTAATAGCAGAGAATTTCCCAAGCATGGGAAAAGGACCTGACACCCAGATAAGTGAGGCACACAGAACGCCAAATAGCCAAAACCAAAATAAATCTACACCCAGATATGTAATAATAAATATCTCAGAAACTCAGCACAAGAACAGAATATTAAAGGCTGTTAAAGAAACAGATCACCTATAAAGGAAAGCCCATCAGAATCACAACAGACTTCTCAACACAAACCCTTAGAAGTCACGAGGAGCATGGAGTGAAGTTCCAATTCTGATTGATGTACCCTGCAAAACTATCTGTCAAAAGTAATGCAAAAACAAAGTATTGCCATGACAAAGAACAACTGAAGGAATTCATGACCACCAAAGCAACCCTACAAAGAGTACTGAAGGATATTCTAGAGAGAGATAAAATGACAATGGTGCCAGGAATAGGAGCAAAGTGGGATCACTGAGCAGGGCAGGCAACTGAATGGACGGGAAAAGTAGGGGCCAACAGCAGGAGGACAGCATGGCAGAGGCAAACTACTGCATGTAAGTCATAACTATTAATGTAGATGGCCTCGATTCACCAATAAAAAGAAACATATGGAGAGTGGATCAAGAAGCAAGATCTATCAATACGCTGTATACAAGAAACACGTTTAACTCGAAAGGAAATGCATACACCAAAAGGCAAAGGACAGAAAACAACATTCTACGCAAAAGGAAACCAGAAAAAAGCAGGGGTAGCTTTCCCATCAACCACAGAATGGTTATGAAAAATATGGTATTTTTATACAATGGAAAGCTACTCAGCTATAAAGAACGCTAATCTCAAAATGGATGCAACGTGACGTCATGTTAACAGGTGAAATGCTTCAGACTCATTAGAGTGAACATCGTGATATCTCCCTATATAAAAAACTGAAGAAGTTAGTGAGATCCAAAATGTACAATAGATACTGTGAAAATGACAGGAAGGAAATATCCAGAAAGAAAAATACTAACTGCTTTTAATTTCCTATTACCTTGTTCTGTTCTTTTTTTTTTTTTTTTTTTTTTTTTGGTCTTTTTCTTTTTTATCGGTACCGGGGATCAAACTCAGGCGCTTACGCCGCTGAGCTAAATCTCCAGCCCCTATTACCTTGTTCTGAATTCCCGTATCGTTTTCACTGTTTTGCTAGGTTTGGTTTTTTTCTGTCACATTTTGATTTTCTTATGCCTGATGATATGGACAGCTATTCTGAAGAAAACAAGAGACATTATGGTAAACACTGTTGATTTCCTATTATCTTGAAGTCCTGTATCACTTTCATTGTTGTTTTGATTGGCTTCGTCCTGTTTTATTCTGTTGTTTTAGTCTCTTTAAAATTTTTTTAAAAACTGAGACTCCAATGGCTGTGCTTTTGCTATTTTAAAATATCAAATCTAAACCAAGGCTTTTGAGCTTCAAGTTCATTCCTTAAGTTCAAGGACAGGGTGAAATCTACTACACGTTAATGTTTGCAGGCAGGTACCTGTATTTTTCCCTAAGAAATCTAAGCTATTTTCAAAGGAGTCGCTAACCTGAAAGAAAACTAAAAAGAATGGCATCTCAATTAAGGCATAAGACTAGCTATAATTCTTACACAATGCTTTTGTTTAAGTATTAGGCTGAAAGCCTGCAAACATTCTAGCTTTTAAAAGCAAGTAGTCCTCTTATGTAACAAGGTGTTCTCATTACTTGTACTGTTATTCTATGCACCTCACTTACTTCAATTTTTCTTTAAATGCCTTTTTAAAAGTAACTGATGTGTAAATGACTGATGTGAAAACAGAATATTCTATTACATCTGGATCTTCAAGTGAAAGCAAGGCTTTACTCTTCCCTGACCACACCCAGTCTTGCTAAATTTGAATCTGCAAGTAAAGAGAAGAATCTGAATATAGAATGAGAATCTAGCACTTGCAATGTAATCCCAATTGATGACTTTCAACTTGCAAAACATAAGTCAAACTTGTTCCACTGCTTTTATTATTCAGTTATTATTTCAAATGTGAATACAATACAGTTTACTTTGGGCAGTTACACAGTCCTATGTGTCTTACCAGATGCATAAATTCTTGTAGCCACTACCACTAACAAAACACAGTTTAAGCCCAACACCCCCAAAGAACATACTCATGACTCTCCTTTGCAGTCAGGCATTTCCCCAACTCCCAGTCCCAGCTACTGATCTATTTCTATAAGATGGCCTTTTCTAGAATATCATATAATGGAACCATATAATATATTATCTTTAGAAACTTTGCACACAATCCATTTAAAATTCATCCAAGTTGTTAAGTCTAGAACATCATGATATGGTTATTTTGGTTTACGTATTCCCTTTAGGGGCTCTCAACTGTTTCCATTTTGGTGCTCACAAACACGTTTGCACACAGACTTTTTTTGTGATGAATATGAATTCTCATTTCTCTGCCAAATTCCTCTGAAGTAGCTATAAAATCATGCTTACCACCAGCAATGTGTAAGAAAAAGTTGTTCTGGGCTGGGGATTTAGCTCAGCAGCATAAGCACCTGCCTTGCAAGAAAAAGTTGTTCTACATTCATGCCAGCACTTGGTGCTTTTTAATCTTCACTAAGCTAGTAAGTATATAAAGAAAACATATTATGGTTTTAATTTTGTATATCTCACTAAAGTGGTCATATCTGGTCTAACTTTTGGTAGTACTGCTTGAGCAATTCTATACAACAGAAACTAGGAGTACACTAAAAACACACCAAAACTTCACAGTTGCCAGATTCTTCCTATTAAAGACAATGAAAGGGGGAAAGGGATTTAGACAGAGTTTCTCAGATCTCTGCTTTTTCCATCAGATAATCCCTTAGCCTAGTTTAAACCAGACAAAACTAAAGCATGAAAATGCTATCCGCCTGCTCAAATAACTAATGCAGTTCTACCTTGATATGATTTGTAAAGGCTACCAGATACTCATTTATATATCAATACAGAAATGACAGGGGCTTCAGGCATTAGGACTCATCATTTAGTTTCTGAATAGGTACTGAATGTCAAATATTCAGATCTTGAGATCACAGAAATACAGGAGAATAATAAGAAAAAAAAGACGGTATTTTACTTCCTTGATGTAATGTTATAGTCCACATTTCCTTTGATATTTACCTGAACAAGACTGTTTTGGCATTTGACTATATACCTCTTTCATAACATGGGACACCGTTACACAGCTTGGTCTTTTAATTCACTGAAGGTGAGAATGACTCAACTATGGTGGATCTGAGAGAGAAACTGACTGTGTACTAGCTAAGTTCCCTCTGGGTCTTTTTCCTCAGGAATTGTCCGCCTGTAGATAGGGGTTACTAGTCAGCTTTGCCCTATGTAACGCTATAATCACAACTGCACTGACTCTGTCAATCACTCATATGACTATATATTCCTGCAGACATGAAGTAGAAAGTGTAAGCAAAACCTGGCAGGAACTATAAAATCAGTCTTTCAACCTAAATTGCATGAGTATGAAAGACAACATTTTGATCTGTATTTGTGAGACTCCTATATTTTTCAACTGGATTTGTACTTAGGAAGAAAATGGCACTGTTTATATATACCAGGTATAACTTATATTTAGAAATATATATTCTGTGTAATCCTGGCATCTCACAGATGTCATTTTACAACAAAAATAATGTGGGGAAGCTCTTGTCTAAGAATACATATGTAGGTACTTATTACATAGGTGTTCTTAGTAAGTGGAGTCTTTATTCTTATATGGAGGGCTAGCAGATAAAACTGGTGAGAGTGAAGCCGCCCTGGCTAAAGAATTATGAGGTTTCTCAAAGCTTATCCTGTTCCTTGATGCCCTCCTCAACTGTTACTTTCCTTCAACTCCACAGAAGCTCCAGACAATATCAGAACATAACAAAAAAATCCTGTCTGTGATAACTAAACACTAAGAAGTTAATCTCCTCGTGGAGAACAGATCACTATCTCCTTGTGAGATCAAGCCTCAAATCCAGACTCAAAGGAAGAAGTGTGACTCTCTACCTGGGTACCCTCTATTCAGTCATGTCAGTGGAAAAAGAAATTAACAACTCAGTGGAACAGATGCCTTCAAGGTCAATTTCCTAAGTAATTCTAAGATTTACTTAACCACTGTAGATAACATAAATATAGCATCATCATGTAAGAACAATCCTTTTATAAAAGCAACTACAGAAACAATAGTATTCCAAACCACAGGTTTCTGTGAGTTGTATGAATTCTCACCATGCAAAGTCTGATCTGTCCCCAACACATTCCACTCTGCTGGCAGCTTCAGGTGTCTGAAAGCCAACGAAACCTTCTCATCCAGAGAATTCACATCCCCAGACGGGGGTCCTGAATGGTCCAGAAAACGAGTGAAGTTCAGAGCTTGCTGGTTTCCAGCACTGGTCGCCAGGAATTGAGCTGCATCATATGCCTCATCCTGGACAAAATGGAAGTCTTGTTCAGCCACCACAAACACCGGAAGGCCCTCCTTGGAAGCACAGAGCTGCACCTTCACTGTCTCACAGCAATCATGACCTAAAGGAAGAACAAGCCACAAAGAAAATGACATTAGAGCCTCTCATGAAAGGAGGACACTGGCGGGTCCTCTTAGCTCTTTTTTCATGACACACATTTCTCAACTCTTCCTTCCTCTGATCTCCTAAAGTATTTTGGTAAACTCCTTTAACCTATCAGCAATTTCTAAAACTGTTACTTGCAAAGTGAATCAGTTCCCACACAAACAGGAATAACTGTGTTTCTTACCTTTCACCAGGTTTGTGACATAGCATTTGGCAGAGAACAGGCTTTCAACACCAATTACTATTGTACTGTTGTTCAATTTTAACAAATTAAAGAATGAAAGTCACATAATCCTGTAAGGCCTAGCACACAACAGAAAATCTAATAGTAACTAAGCTGAGTTAGACCTGAAAAGGCAACAGGGAAAAGAATCTTTCATATAAGAAATGTGGGAAGAATTCTACAGTTCTCCAGCATCTATCTTATCATTACTACTATAAATCAAGTGATGAAGCACTTTGCAAAGTGCAAACCTATGTGATTTTAACTTTAAGATTATTAGGTAATCCAAGGCCTAAAATAATAAGTAATAATTGTTACTTGATATACCTTCTTCTGTCTCAACCACTAATAAAGAAACAATGAAATAATGAAACCATCTGCTTCGCATAAGGAGAATGTAATGCCAATGTTATTCAAGAAAAGCAAAACCGTACCACCCAATGTACAGAACAGAAGGTATCCCATGAGCTGTGACTTTAGGCAGCAACCTACATGCCTGCTCAAAGAGCTTAGCTTAAGCCAAATAAGCAAGATATGACATCATCATCTTTCTGCAGATAAGGGATTCTTGGAGAGTAAGATTTTCTTCCAGACATCTAGCGTTTTAGAATTAAATATTTGCAATATGAAGAATAGTCAATAAAACATACACTGCTTTTTCTCAGTTTCAAATACTGATCTCAACTAGCCAGTACTAGATTGCTCTATCACTACTCCTCTTCCATGAAATATCTTTTTGACAAGAAAATTAAGTTAGTGTGTTTCTTTTTTTGAGTTATGCTATTTCATGCTCTGCCTGATTCACTCACAGGCACCTGTGTACCCATGGATTCCTTCAATCTATACCGTATGTATAGAATGCTTTTTGGCAGTACAACAATGCAGAAGGAACACTCTATGTGTCTACATGGTCTGTGAGTTTTCCCATGCTATGGATGCAGTGGTATTAGACATGAGCAAAACAAGGTTCTGTTACCTTTAAAAAAGAAAAATGTTTTTTCCGTACAGCCAACAGAAAACTAAGCTGACTTTTTCACATACCTCTGTCCTAGGGTCCACCTTCAGTCCTCTGTTCTTGTAACAAAAGAAACCTCTCACTGCTATGTGATTCTACGGTGGTGTAATTATCTACTAAGTGCCTACTCCACATAAGACATGACAAATCTTTTTCTCAACATAACAATTTTATGATATATAACTTTATAGATGAAAACATTGAGACTTCAAGAAATAAAATTACTTGTGCACAGTACACAGCTATTAAAGTTAAACTCATTCAGAGCCAAAGCGGATGCCAAAGGACATGGAGTATTACATCACTATGCACGGGGTTTTGTACCACATTGCCTATGAACACCAAACTCTTGCCTGACAGGAGTTTTAACAGCTGGAATGATGGGTCAATGTGACTGATCACAAAGAACAGGTTTATGAATCACCAGATCAGTCTTTACACAAACATATAACTCCCACTGCCTTCCAAATTAAATTCTTCTATGAAAAATATTGAGAGCTGAAGCTTCTTTTGCTTGATCTGGATGTGCGTGCACACAGGCTTGCATATATGTGCATTTAAACTTAACGTGTTCCATCCTCTTGGTAAGCGTCTGCAACGCGAGTCAGGAGGAGAACAGAGCTCCAGAGTTCCGGCCATGGAGGGATTTAGGCAGCTTATTTACCCACCCTCTTGGTAAGCTTCTGCAACACGGGCCAGGAGAACAGAGTTCCAGAGTTCCGGCCATGGAGGGACTCAGGCAGCTTATTCACCTGCCCTCTTGATAAGCACCTGCAGCTTGGGCCTGGAGGAGAACCATTACCTGTGAGCCAACTTCCACACAAGCTGAAAATCAAGCACCCTTCTCGCACCTGCCCCTTCCCCCCTTACCTACTGGGGATAGATATTTCAACATCTCTTGGGAGGATGAACATATGCAGTATAGCAAATATGGGGGATTTCCTTCTATCTTCTGTTTGAAGGCATAGGTTGTTTTCACTTTTTGTTATATTTCTTTTGCTCTATTCAGTATTCTCAATTGGTTTTACAATGTTCTATTTTTGGTTTGATTTTACAATACGTAATTGACTGGATAGCTATTGTTAAATTAAAGAGATATACCGTAGTACTTAGTACTACTATCCCAGTATCCTACTGTGAAATCCTGTACCAATTTCACTGCATTGTCTCAATTGGCTTTGTTCTGTCTTGCACTGTTGCATATTTGCTACTTTCAAATTTAAAAAAAATAATAATACATGTTAAGACCCATCCATGTGTAGAATCTATAAACAGTTTATGAGAACTGATCTTATGACAACTGATGAACAGATACTCTGAAGAAAAGGAGACACTAAAATACCCACTGCTGATCCTGGAGTGTCATAATGTGAAACCCAGCAATAGTGTTATTCTTTGTTCAGAGTGATATTAGCCTGCTTGGGTTTACTGAAAGTCAACATAACTGAGGATATAGGTAACTGCATATATGTTTAAGTGTAGAGGATTGATAACCATTTCTAAGTTTTTGTTGGATAGTTGAACAGTACTGGTTGCAATCTCACTGTTTGAATCCCCACTTTATATGCTCCAATTTAGTATCTTGAATAACTATTTGTAAGAAGACAATCTGTAATCATCAACTAGTGATTTCTTACTGTTTATTTTTCTTTGAAATTATATATTATTTCTACCCGTTTTGTTTTTTTAGTCTTTCTTTAAATTCAGTTTTAAAAAGAAGATACTACAGTACCCAGTGCTGATCATGGAGTGTCATGAAGTGAAATCCAGCAATACTATTATTCTTTGTTCAAAATGATTTTAACCTGCTTTAGTTTGTTTAATCTAAACATAAATGAAGATATGGATAACTGCATGTATGTTTAAATGTATAGGATTGACAACCATGTTACTAAGTTTTTGTTGGACAGCTGATTAGAACTTTTTGCAGTCTCTCTGTTTGAATTCCCACTTTACATGTTCCATTTTTGTACCTTGAACAACTATTTGTAAAACGACAACATCAACTAGTGATTTCTTATTTTTTTCTCTCTGAATGTATGTACTATTTCTACCTACTTTGTTTTGCTTAATCTTTCTTTAAATTAAAAAAAAGAAAAAATAAATAAATAAATTCAACGTGTTTAGAATTTTTACAATTAACATTAGACTTGATCTTTCTTGAAAGGGCAGCCAGATATCATTATCACCAGAAACTAGTCAATAGATTCAGGTAATAGGTTTTGGATATTTTTCTTGCATGAAGTTTTTCTTTTAAAATGTTCCTGTAACATCTGACTAAATTCTGCCCAACCGCAAGTAACTGGACTTATAAAGAAAGTTCAGGCATCATGATTAGAAGGTAATAATGAACAGGGAAGGAATCTCATCTCTCTGTACATTACAGTTTATAAAGAAGACTAAAATAGGCTGCAGATAACTAACTGAAGGCGAGTCTAAATGGGGTAGGCTCTGTAAAAAACATGATTGGAGTGTGGGGAATACTACAGCTCAAAGGTAAACAAAATCAGGAAGCTTTCACCAAGGAGGTAGCCGCTAAAAACAGTCTTTGAAAGACACTGTCCCCAACCTCTCCAAACACCAAGGGTTCTTCACGCAATCTTCAGAACACAAGCATAATACCTTTTTTCTTTTATTTTTTATTATTTACTTAGCAGGGACTTCTATATCCTTGCTATGTGTCAGACACTATTCTCAGTGCGTTACCAAGCAACAATTCATATACTTCTCACAGTAAACAAGCAGGCTTATTCATTTGCCAGATCAGGAAAGTGAGGAACCAAAACCATTAAGTAACTTGTACAGGGTTATAAAGCTCTGACACAGCAAAAATTAAAATCTGAATCAGTTTCACTGTTCTAATGTCACTCCATACCCAATACTTAAGGGTATTTAAGATGACTTAAACTTGAACAAGAGTACCATGAAAGAATCAATGAGAAAGGAATAAATACACATTCAAACTTCATCTATGGTCAACAGATCAGCTTCGTTACTTCAATGGACCTCAGCCTCATCATTACAACACAAAGGGGCTGTCTCTCTGAGAGTTAAGGCTTCTCTGCCTGTAAAAGCCAATGGGCTTTAGGGTGAAAACGGAGAACAAATTGGAAAATGGTTTTAAGCATAGGAAACAGCTTTAAAAACATAAAAAATGGAAGGAAGCAGAGTAAGCTCAATGTATGAACTATTACTACATAAAATATTTTCAAGAAGATATTAACTAGTCTACATCTAATGGCTTGGCAGAAGATCTGGCTTCAAACCTATTTTCTTATTACATGTGAGGCCTGAAGCAAAAGACATCTAACACTGGCAAGTCTAACAGCCCCTAGCCTTGCAGAGCTGAAATTTGGAAGCCCAAACTCCATTCTTTGATATCATCACCCCAAGTGACATATGTAGTCTCACTTTATTTCCAAAGTGGGGTAGGAAGTAATGTACTTCACTCAGAAAATATTGAAGAAAAAAATGTGGCTCATGAATTGAAGCAAAAATTAGTGTTGTCCCATTTACTAAGAATTAAACAAATTAGTAAGTTTCTGACAGTTCCCTGAGATAGCTATGAATTAAGGACAACAAAGATGAAAACTACAAACTCTGCAAGTCAATGATAATGATGTAAATAATTTGGGATATAAGTTTAATTGTTTTCCAAACACATACCTGCTGTACTTAAGAAGAAGTATTGCTACTGGCCTATACTACAGCTCACTGT